TGAGCCAAAAACACATCACCAAACACCAATGACTTGTACATATGGATAAAGTCATTTTAGACACTTCCAAAACTGTTTTTAAATACATTAATTATGTTTCCATCTTTGTTGCCACAGTTTTGGAAGTGCCTTTTTCTGTTCTAAACAAGGGGGTGTCCCAATAGTTTTGTCAATGTATAGTATATGTAGTACAAGTCATTGGTGTTTGGTGATGAGTTTTTGGCATGAATGAATTAATATATTAATTATAATTGAATATATTAATAATACTATAATGCCTTTTTTTGTATGATAGACAATTTTGGTACTATGTTTTGTTACCACTTGACGTTCAATGTAAAACCTTCCTAAAGTAGAACCAGTAGAGAACCACTGCGTTAAAACATGTTGTACAGTCATTCGAGTAGTGGTACATTGACCGAATCCCATCATCAGAAAGTATAAATATAGTCAAATAAAGCCATGTTTAATTTTGTCTAATCAGAAGTAGCTGATTTCACTGAGACAATGCTAATGCGTTCTGCATGTTTGATAAGGAACAGGCAAATGTGATCCGTTAGATTAACTTTAATCTGCTCTAAATCCCCTTCAAGTGGAACAACAGCATGAATACCAATGTATTATTCATCACGACAACAAGCCAGGATTTTCCCCCCATTACAGCTATTACCTTAATTGCCTTCATATGAGTTTGCTTCTGAAGCCTAATGAACATATCTGTAAATTGAAAATGTTTGACTGGGGAAACAAAATGTTTACCAGTCAGACAGCCAGTGAATGACATGTTATTCAGTAGATAATACAGCTCCCCCGTCCCGCCCCCAAGATATTTCACGAGTGCTTCTGAAGCTCTTCAATCAGACCTCACATGTCCAGAACCTGCCAAGAAGAATGAGAGCTGATTTTATCTCCAAACCTCAAAGACACTTTCCTTTCAAAGCAGCATTTATGCCTGTCAAAGTAAATTCATACAGCTTTCCTTCATTTAACAAGACCACTTGGCATCAAAATAGCCAACTGAATGGAAGCCATTCGATTTATGAAGTCTCTTCATTTACTAATCTGACTAAATGGAATTGCAAAATAAACATCCCAACTTGTTCACTCTAGAGCCACTGAATAAAGTCTTGATGGTTCCACGCAGCCAGAAGATTCTCCCCCAAGGTAGCGTGGACTTGAATTTTCCTCCTTCTTGAATATATCACGGCTTCATTACTTCTATAGTGTTGTGTTATATGGCCTGTTTTCCCATCATCCCACATTGCTGTCTCCTCTCCAGCCCCTCAGCCATTGGCATAACTTTTTATCTTTTGTGAGTGCAGGGACAGTCGGGATGCTTCATTTACTCTGATGTGTTTCTGCTGGTGGTTCGAGGTATAGAGGATATTGAGATGAAGAGAGAGAGAGAGAGTCAGTCCCCAGTGCGGTTGTCTACATTGCTGAGTGGGAAGGTGGCACTGCGGGAGTACTTAGCACACAGTCAAACTGTGTCACTGTCTCACTCCTGCCTGGGGGAAAAGGACATGCTTTATGCCTCCAATCTCTTTAAATTGTTTTCACGTGAGATAATTTTCATTTGATGTATTGGATTGTGTGCGTGGTCTGCAAAACTTCTGAATGGATCTGCACCTCTGATCTTTTTGCAGTCAAATTAGAACTTTTTTGGCAGGAAAATGACTTTGAAAATGCCGTTTTTGGGAGGACAATTAGGGTTCTCCTTGGAGACCTGACAAAATGTGAAAGATTAAAGACAGTACCTCAGGATATGGTGGTTTATAAATGAAATGATCAGATGGAAGGCTTTCTTAGTATTAATGAGAGTTTGTGATTCAGTGTAGAGTATGCTAACAAAAAAGTGCCCCAACATTATTTGAAGTATCTTGAAGTGCTGTCTAATTACCATAGTACATTAATATGGTAATCAGCAACATGTAGCATGGTATATACAGTATCTATAGTTAGTACAGTTAGAGAATCTCATAACAAAATATATTTTTTATTAAATTGTTGAAGCCTAAAATTTTTTAACTTCAAAAGTTAGCATAAAAATGGCTAATCAGCCTGGCAAAAGTTTGGGATCAGTACGATTTTTTATGTTTTTTAAAGAAGTCTCTTATGCTTATCAAGGCTGCATTTATTTGATCAAAGCTTCAGTAAAAACAGTAATACTGTAAAATATTATTCCAATTTAAAATAACAGTTTTCTATTAGAATATACTTTAAAATATAATTTAATTCTGTGGTGCAAAGCTGATTTTTCATCAGCCATTACTCCAGTCTTCAATGTCACATGATCCTTCAGAAATCATTCTAATATGCTGATTTATTATCAGTGTTGGAAACAGATGTGCTGCTTAATTTGAATATAAATGTTTTCTAACAATACAAGTCTTTACTATAATTTTTTTAATCAATTTAACATGAAGAAAAAGTATTAATTTCTTTAAAAAAAAATTAATAACTTTTTATTCATATACAGTACATGTGTGTGTGTGTGTGTGTGTGTGTGTGAGTGAGTGAGAGAGAGAGAAACCGAACAGTTATGGCTGCTATGTGATAAAATTAAGTAGATGTTACATTTACAAAAAGCATCAAATAATCTACAGAATATCATAACACAATAAATGCTAATTTGACAAATTGGTTGGCCAGATTCTGTATTTTTAGAGCAGTGACTTGGATTGGATAAAAGACTGTTTAGTTACTATGTGCATGTGGGTTTTAAGAGCTGTTATACTGTATAAACTTAGATATTCTAATTAATCGGTGATGTTAAATGTAAGAGTGCACTAACATAAGCCTGGCTCTCCAGTTAGTCTAGTTGCTTATTAAAAAAGCTCACAGGTGGGAGCTGCGAGGAATCCTCAGGTGGCTGTGATGAAAGCGTTAAATGACTGGGTCATCATAAGGAACCGTTTTAATCCTCATCTGAGAAAGGGCAACATTAACATGCAGTAAGGGTTACATTAACGCTCATCTTGTAAATGACATTTACTTTCTCATTTAGTGTGAAATTATGTGGCAATATTGCATAGAGGCATGTTTAGAATGCTAATGATTGTCAGATTCCTGTTAAGGACAAGTAACAAGTTAATTTAGATCCACTCATTATTCAAAAAAAGGTGAAACTCTGGCGTGTACTTCATCTTTAAAAGCAGTGAGATTTGAGGTCGCATAAAGTTGAATGGCAGGCAGATAAAATATGCACAAAAATATCAGAGCTAGAAAATGTCAGGCTGAAGCAGTGGAGAGAGAAAAAGATTAAGCCAGGACAATTTGAAAGCAAAAGCTAAATATAAACAGTAAGGAAATGAAATGAAATATTAAATTGTACTATTACTCAGCCTTGCTTATATGCCAGACTCTCTCCGCATGCTAAATTTAAAGTGCTTTTTCTCCAGCATTGGTTGTGGAAGGTCATTTTGAGTTACAGAATAAATATATTTGTGGTTATGTAACAGCTTCATGTAAGTGAAAGTTTTAACAGACTTATGAAGTATTTGCATTGCTTGATGGCAGTACATGCCAGACCCTTTTCAGGGCGGTAATCCAATTTGCTTGTGCCAAGTATTTCAAAGGATAGTTCACCCAAAAATAAAAATCATGTCAGTGTTTACTCAGCCGCATGTTGTTCCAAAACCATACACTGCCATTTTTTTCTTGTGCAAAACAAAAGAAGAAATGGAGGAATATTTCCCTTTAAGCTTGGAAAACAGCACTATTTTTTTCTGAAATACTTTTCAGATATTTATGTGAGGAATAGACTGAAATAAATCATTATATCTGAAATAAATATAGGCTATTTTCGTTGCAGTATTTTTTTTTATTTTACAATTTACATTTTTAGAGCTCTGTAGGATAAAAAAAAAAAAAATGAATATTGAATATTTGGAATTATGTTTTTTTGTTTTTCCTGTGGTGCAAAGCTGAATTTTCAGCAAACCGCCTCAGTTCAAGAGAAGCGGCAGCGTGAGGCGCACGTCACCTGATCGTCTCCTCCGCTTTAATAACAGTTTCAGCACGAAATAAACATGAATAAACATCCAAAGGTATGTTAAAAGAATGAGTAAAGCTTACCAAATTCCATATCCTGTTTCATGTAATCGCTCTATCAGTGTTTCAACTGACAAGAAGTCAATATAGCAGCTTGTAAACAAAAGAAGAGTCAGTGTCACATAACGTCACCTCATTTACCTCAGAAACAAACATATCTGACCATAAACTCGTTAGTCAGCTAGAAAAATGAACTGTAGAGAGGAGCATTTTGCTAAATATATGTACCATATAACATATTCATTATAATTTTTTACTGTTCTTCAATGTTTAATTTGTTTGAATAAGTCCGTCAAGTTTTTATGACAGCCACCATTTAAAAGTTTGTTTCAAAAAAACAAATTGGAGTAGAAATATAATTAGGTAATTGTAACTTTATTATTTAAAAAAACTTTGTAATTTTTTTAAAAAGAGTGTAATTTAATCATTTTTATATAAATCAGTTAATTTTAACCTTCAGCCTATTGTATACCAACAGACTCTCCTGTATATTTTAAATTAGTTACATTTGCTTTATTTTTTTTTTCTTGTGAAAATTTGGCATGTACTGTACCTGATATATATCTAGAATAATCTATGTTGAATCGAATCGAAAACTTGAGAGTCAGAATCAAATCGAATCGTGAAATTTGTGTCAAAACGCAGCCCTAGTTTTCACTAGATTTTTGATCAAATAAATGCAGCCTTGGTAAGCATAAGAGACTTAAAAAAAAAAAACATTAAAATACTTCCAAAATTATTGTTATTCCAACTGAAAGTGTATGGTTTTAAAACAACATGCAAAGTAAAGTAAATATGCAAATTTGTTGTTTGAACCTTTTTTTTTTTTTTTTTACTTGGTGTGCACCAAGACAAACAGTAGATGTTTCAGATGCATTGGCATATACACCTGACTCCCTGTCTCTTCCAACAGGTCGGTTCCCCAGTGTTTCATACGGTGGGTTTAGGTGGTGAGTGGACGGGACTCTGATGTGGAGTGCTGCTCCGGAGCTGAGTGCCCACTACTAGACCAGCAACTTCCTGTGCCTCAGGATGGATTAGAGCTTCACGCCTCCGGAGATCAAAGGTATGAGATGTATAGTAATGAGCTTCCACTCCGCTCTTTCCAATCAGAGCACCACATGCCCGCTGTAGTGCGTAGTGTTTGTCTTGAATGCACCGTGGATGGCTATTACTGTCCGTTAAATATTTATGAATGTGCCGGAGAGGTGAAGGAGTGTTTGATGTGCTTAATTGTACTGCAGACATTACATTTTTCAAGGCTCGGAAACAATGATAGACTGCAAACAACGCTTGTCCGCTTCAGGACTTTGCATTTTGTTTGGAAACCTGCCATGTTGTGCACACAGAGCCATATGAGCTGGCCAGAATTATTGTGATTATAAATGTAGCACAGATTTATTGCTTGAGGTGAAAGAACGAACGAAGAAGAGAGAGGAGAACAATGCTGCCTTGAGTCACAAAGTTCTCCAGTAACCATGGCAGCCGGGTTTTGACATGCATATAGCTGTCAGCCACTTGATTTGTGTCTCCTATTTTTCAATTATATTTCAGATGTGTACCTAATTCGCACTTAATTCCCTATTAAAATGCAGAAGCCCGATGAGATGAATCAAAGTTCTCTTTGCAATAGTTTTTTATTCGTTTCAGTGGCTTGAAAGAAAATGAGGTGAGGAGATTGTTGGTGTTGTACAAAGGGTGTTATAGGACTAGTCAGCGATTTATTGGAAAATGGAGGCTCACAGAGGGAATATGAGAGAAGGGCCGAGATCATTCCACGGCCTCGCGCACGTCCCGCTGCGTTCAGTATAGAGAGAGAACTTCAGAGAGCTGGTATGTGGCATGCTATTTTATCACTGGAGACACCGAGTGGTCGTGTTCTTGGTCGCTAGAAGCTGTTCCTACAGCTTTATGGTCGATTGTTATTTTTGGGCAGCACAACTGATCTTTCTCATTGGTAAAAAGTGTTTGTTCTGTATACAATACACTTATTGTTTCGATTGAATTTTGTCTTAGTGTTTTTTTAAAGGGATCAATGACTTTCATTGTATGGAGGAAAACGAATGAAAAACCCTGACACATTTCTCAAAATATTTTCTTTTATGTTCCACAGAAATTAAATAAATAATAAATAAATGATTCATTTAAAACGATCAGTTTAAGAGAACAGTTCACCCATAAATTATAATTTGTTTTCTTATAAACACAGGTTTTTCCTTTTCAAGATGTTAATCGATTGACTGAAATTATGGATTATGATAATGGATTACTTGTCGATTATTGTGGTGTTTTTATCAGCTGTTTGGACTCTCATTCTGACGGCACCCATTCACTGCAGAGGTGAACAAGTGATGTAATGCTAAATGTTTTCCAAATATGTTCTGATAAAGAAACAACCTCATCTACATCTTGGATGGCCTAAGGGTGAGTAAATTTTCATTTTTGGGTGAACTATTCCTTTAAAGGGGTCATATGATGTTGCTAAAAAGAACATTATTTTGTGTATTTGGTAATGCACTGGACACATCTGAATATTAAGGTTCAACTGTTCTGGAACAGTGTTGTAAATACAACTTAACCACTGATTTCTAGTCATGTCCTCTTTTGGAAGGCCAAACAAAGTAGTTTTGCTTTCACAACGAAACACACGGCGGGCATGAGTGAGCGGAGGAGGGCGG